TCTCTGAAGATTTACAGAATTGGTCTATCACAGATTCTGTCGGACTGGACAAACAATACCGTCCATTACCATCATTAACCCATTCCATAGAAAGCACCTCTTTCGGGCAGAGAAGACCGGGCGCCTAATTGTTGCTTACTATTGTGACGATGATCAACATCGTGAACAGCCCCGCCAGAACGAGATCCGTCCAATTCGGCAGATAGTACTCCGTCGGCGTATCTTGTCCATCCGTCGATACCGTGCGATTCCATTGATAAACGTCCCCATAGTAATTGGCCGTTTGATTCGTCATAGTGGTTTACCCCCTGTCCATTGACGACGACGACGACCACTTCTGGCCAGCAATCTGCGCATTTCCGAGCGTCATACAGCTGCCTGTAATGCAACACGATATTTTCGCTCCGATAAAAGACAAATGATTCCCGTGGCCATTGAACCGATTGTAATAGGGGATGGAATAATGGACGGGTTCGCGTCGGAAGAAATCGCTCCACCTCGAATACCTCTTACCGTCCATCGTAGCTACGGGGACGTGACGTTTCCGGCCTTCGTCCCAGCAACGATTTCCTCCTTGATCCGCAGGGTAAAATTACGAGCCGAGAAATGCGAACGCGATACATTTTGGAGAGAGCTTCTAAAGGAGTGCACCTAAATGCATTTTTCGATCATACTATTTGACCGAAGATGAATACATATTACATGCAAAGGGAAGGCAAAATCTTTTTATGTAATTTTTTAAAATTGTGAACGTTTTCTTCAAATTTTATTTATGAAAAATATAAGACAGAAAGAACATTAACTGACGAACAAGTATGAGTTATAAATTTATGGTTGATGCTATGCAACTTTATTTTTTTCCATGTTGACATAATTTTAAGAATAATTTTCGTTTTAGTAGTAGTCTGTACATTTTAGAATGAGATTACTGGGAGAAAATTAGGGACTGATTTTATGTAATATAAATTATCATACAATTTTCTTCCACAGTGAATACCAGCTTAATATTACGTCAGCGTATGATATAATGCAATCATTTGATATTATTAATGTAGATTGTAAATTGAATTAATAGGAATAAGAATTGGTGTGTACAACTGATTGAAGCGTTAAGAAAAGATCGATTTGCGTGGTCGTTGCATTAAAAGTCGAAGCGCGTGTCAATAACAATCACGATAATGCAAATTTCATTTCATTTCCCAGTAAAATAGCAATCGAAAATCGATTTGAACGGTCGACATTCGTGTTCCATGCAGCACACGTCTTTTTAACAAATGCGAATTGAAGTAAAGTTTAATTAGTGTCGCATCTTCGATAGTAGCAATTATACTTGATTCATGGAAAACTATTCATACATAGAAATATTCCTCTGTATAATCACAATCAGTATAATATGTGAAGATATCTATAATAAAAATACTGCTGTTCTTTTTATCTTCATAATTAGTATTTTATTTGTTATAAAAGAAATGACTATCAAATTAATTTATTAAAGCAGCACCTCGAGTAAGTTTATTTTTTTTCGGATCAATTTTGAAGGCAAGCACATACGAAAGAAGTTTATTTTATCACTTTCTCCAACTTGTAACAATTCAGAAGTAAAATATTTCCTGCGGTCGTGGGATAATGCAGTGCAGTAAACGCGTTGTTTTCCGTGAATGCTGAAACGTTATCACATACTGAAGAACCAGAGCATTATTCTCGTGCCATATCTTCTCGGTGCTTTAGGGAAAATGCTTCTTAGCGATAGAGGAAACTCCATATATTATCTCGTGAGCCATGAAAAATCATGTCGAAGGAAATCGATGGTTCCTTTTTTTATCGAGGAACAGAGGATTGGTATATGAAATAAGATTTAATTCTATCGTTTGAACAGAGTCTTCTGTCTTAAATAGAGTCTTGTACATTTGTGGATTTGTATAATAGAACTGAATTTCCTACGAATTTTGGAGTTTTTATTGAGTTTAGTATTTTATCCAGTTTATTG